TTGTAGACGTTTCCAACACGTACCCACTTCCTAACATTTCGCTAGGTTTATGATTCCATGCAAGATAGTATATAAGTAATAAAAGAGAAGGAAATCACCTATCCCTTCGAAGGTGAATCCGGCATCAGTGTAGCGATGCACCACTTCTTCCGGTTTCTCCTCACCATAAGCCTTCATCATTGTGAAATCATCATTAAAACCCAATTTCTCAAGAGCTTCTTTGATGATCCCACGAAACCATTCCAAATCACGACCCTCAAGGAGTGGGAAATCCTCCACGTCCCCGAACACGCTTGTTTTAATATCTGCACAAAACGACACTTGCAAAATGTAGAGAGAAAAACGAATACTTAGACGATCTGCTAGTTTAGCATCACAGATCCATCTAATTTGGATTTAAACAACTAATTTCGAGCAAGAGATACAACTTACTAGTCAATTCTCTAGCCATGCTTTCCAATGAGATCGAGATTATTAGAGAGGAAGATGACGAAAATATTTTAAATTTAGGGTTACATCTGAGGTGGCTTTTATAATTTATGATAATTAGGAATCTTGTTAAATATACCGACCAAAAAAAAAAAAGAAATCTTGTTAAAGGTTCGCTACAAAAAAAAAAAATGTATTGCATCAAATAAATATTATCACAAAATTGGCTCATACTATTTCGAATTACTTATTAATTAATGATATAAAATTTGTTGTCTAACATTATTTATGTTAATTGAGGTTATCCTCTATATATTAATAGAGGAGACACTAGCTGAAAAATCATATATGTCATCTAAAGAGGAATTTAAGGACCTTATTTCTTAAAAAATTATTAATGACAAATATATTGAAATAACAAATATGTGGTAATTAATATAGAGATAAAATTTATTTAAAAAATATAGAAAATATTTGAAAATATCTTATTTTATTTTCAATAATTACTATATTTTTTTATCCGAATCAAACGCGGGATTATAATATTTAAAAGCAAAAATTTATGATTATTTCTAATAAATGGGAGATACTAAAACTAACAAAGATAAAATATATTATGTTTGATCAAAATATAACTTTATGACATTTATGCAAAATACATGTTATTTTTGTACGTTTACAAATGTTAGAATACACGTCTAAATATTAAATTCTGTTAAAAACATATTAATTATTTAATCTCACGCTTAGCGTGGGTCAAAATCTAGTTATTGATTAATTTAACATCGACTTAATAAAATTGATACAAATTTTTAGTTTACATCGTTTCAAAAAAATTGATACAAAAACATGGATTTGTATCAATTTAATAATTGATGCATTTACTATTTTATGTTAACATCATTTAACAAATGATTCAAATTTTACATCACTATAAATTGATACTAATAGAATTATAATTCTAACTATTTAATCGTTTTACATCAGTTAGATTGAACTGATGTTATTTCATATTAGTTATTGATGCAAATTGATAAAGTCAAATTGTTTCACATCGACAATTGTGGAATAATTGAAAAAAAATCTTTATATAAATAAGGTTATAGATATGCCGAATATTAAGGTTATGAGAACTAAAATCAAGGAGATCATAACTAAGATTTTCTATATTCTCTAATTGATTTTTTTTTAAAACGTTTTGGTTATATACGTAATTCAAATAAAAAATGATTAATTTTTTACTTTATTTTCTTGATTAAATTAATAAAAATTTAATTTTAAATTTTATCATCAATTAATAATCACATGTAATATAAAAAGATTATTTATAACTAATGTAATTATAAAATCAACAAAATAAATGATATAAATATTTCACATCAATTGTTATAATCGAAACAAATATTTTACATCATTTATACAAAGTGATATAAATTTTAGTTTCAATTTCATTGGCGACACATATTAACATCAGTTATAATAGCTAATGAAAATATTATGTCGGTCTTTTATATTGATACAAAATATTAGAGTCACTATTTTCAAAATCACTCATAGAAATGATGTAACTCTAGTTGTGTCAATAAAAAAATGATGTAAACTAATAAAATAAATGATACTATTTGTCTATTTTTTTTTAGTGGTTTGTTAAACGTCTATTCCACCCTTGATTACAATACCTACACATCCAAAATACCTCAGACTAATTTAGTATATATCTAGGTTACAGAGGAAAATAAACAACTAATTTGGATTTAAACAACTAATTTCGAGCAAGAGATACAACTTACTGGTCAATTCTCTAGCCATGCTTTCCAATGAGATCGAGATTATTAGAGAGGAAGATAACGAAAATATTTCAGATTTAGGGTTACATCTCAGGTGGCTTTTTTAATTTATGATAATTAGGAATATTGTTAAATATACCGACAAAAAAAAATCTTGTTAAGGGTTTGTTAAATGTCTATTCCACCCTTGATTACAATACCTACACAGCCAAACTACCTCATACTAATTTAGTATATATCTAAGTAACAGAGGAAAATAAATCAAAACCTTTATCAAATTCAG